GATATTCTGAACATATTTTCAGTTTAGAAGAGAGAGGGAGCAACGAACAGCAATGTATTCAGACAATGCTTCATGGAGTAGAGGTTCCTTGAAGCTGACCTTGAAGGACAGGGAGGATTTGAAAAGGTGGAAGAATTAGGAAAGGCATTCCAGGACATAATAGGCTTGGAGCAAGGGTCAATATGGCTTATTCTTGAGACAAAGAGACGTGTGAACAGAGCAGGGAAGGCCAATGTCTGGAATGTGGTGAGAAATAAGGTAAAATATAAAAAGTACACCAGATTATAAAGAGCTTTGAAAGCCAGAAAAAAAGTGTCTAGATTTCACAGCATTCACTATGGTGCCTTGAAAACAGGCATTCAATAAATACTATTGGTTGATAATAAAGATATCATTTTAGGACCACTGGCAGTTTGCAATGGATGGCAAAATTTCTCATTTAGAAAGTCAGCTAACAAGCTATACAAAAACCTGGCATGAGGTGATGCGGAATAACTCCCTTGTAGGCTATTGACAGTTGCCTGTTTTAAATATGCTTTACAGTGTTAACCACAAGTGCCATTTACCACTTGTGGGAACCTTGATCTTGTATTGGCAATCCCTTGCTCAAATAAAAATTACACAGTTTAAAACACTGTGTACTCAAATAGCCATGTGATCTTAATTCCGAAGTTGTAAGAGTTGGAGGGCAGTTGCTATCAGATACATGTGCAATTTCTGCGTCTCTAAATTAGTTACAGGTGCAAAACTGCATTTACCAAAAAAACAAACAAACAAACAAAAGACAATCTGGTAGAAATTTATAGAAACTTAATTCCATTCAAATGAGTCTAATTCGTTATCACTTATATTCTCACAAATATTCAGCACTAATAGATGGATATGAGGCATTTACTGGACAACCTCTAAATGTCCAAAGGGAGTTAGCAGCACAGAAGCTCTGTACCACTTTTGTTGATCTAAGACAATGAACAAATTTACTTTGCTCGGATTTCCTCTGACTCAAGGAGTATGTGGCTAACACAAGAGCTATGCAGATTTTAGAATTTCCCCATGGTTATCCTAGCAAAGTTGTAAGTGAGAATGCTGACAAAAATAGTACTATATGACAACCTCTATGAGAGGTATAAAAATTGTCTTCATTTAATGTCTCACGTTTTATACTGCAATTGGCAGATTAAAGGAATAGTTGCTGTCAGGGAGCTTTCAAGACAAGTAGTACTCCTTAGAGATAGTAGAGGAAACTAAAATTAAAAATGAAACCTGTATTGTCTTGTAAACAGCTCATGTAAATGACATTTCTTTCAGGTGTTTCCTATAATTCATAATTTTGGAGGAAAGTATGAGACAAATGACAGTTTTCAGAAAAACAGTGATTTTCAGGGTCTAGAAATCTATAAAATCTGCAAAGTCCTGGTGATGAAGAGGTTAATTAAATAAATGATAAAGCTAGAGCCAAACTCAGAAAAAATTAATACAGACAGTAATATTCAAGAAAAAGATCTTAAATTCCAATTACATGTGAAAGTATGGAATTCAGGGGTGGGCTGTGGTGGCTCATGCCTATAATCCCAACACTTTGGGAGGTAGAGGCAGGAGAATTACTCGAGCCCCTGAGTTCAAGTCCAGCCTGGGCAACATGGTGAAATCCGGTCTCTACAAAAATTACAAAAATTAGCTGGGCATAGTGGGGTATGCCTGTAGTTCCAGTTACTAGCAAGACTGAGGTGGGAGGATCACCTGAGCCCAGGGAGGTTGAGGCTGTGGTGAGCTATGATCATCATGCCAATGCATTCCAGCCTGGGTGACAGAGTGAGACGCTGTCTCAAAATATAAATAAATAAATAAATAAATAAATAAATAAATCAGAGCTGTGTCAATAATGCAAATCTTTTTCTGGACTTCTACCTCGGTGTATAAAAACCATTATAATCCAAGACAGTTTCTCAATGCCTCTGAGAAGAAAACATGTAATTGTCACTCTTCTTTAGGCTCAAAGAATAACTTCAATTTCTTCATAAATACTAATGAAAGTGAAAGATAATTTCATCATTAAAAAAATTAGACATGAAGATGCTTTCTCTAAGCTTGATCATCTCCTTCTCAAAACACACACAGGAGATCATGCAGATGCCTCACTTCATTCACATAACTGCCACTTACTCTTGTGCAATAAAGAGTTCCAGAGTTTTTATTTTCCCATATTCCAGAAAGTGCTTCAAATTTAGGGTGTTTTGTTTTGTTTTGCTTTTAAATTAGAGCCTTCTTATCTGTCCACATGTGATTAATGCCACAAGACTAAAGCAGTTAACTCCAGATAGGGCTTTAGATCTACTTTTACAAATATCGTGTCATTTAATGATCACATTAATTCTGTGTATTCTGTGTGGAAAGAGAAGGCCAGAGAAGTAAAATGAGGTGCTCAAATTCACACAGCAAATATGTGGCCAAGACAGGATTCATCCTTATGTTCCCTGGTACTACAAAGATCCCTTTAAACTTCTGAAAAGGTAAAAACTTTGGTCAGTTATCTAAATGTTTCTGAGTCTATGGTTGCCTGGAGCTATGTAACCACAGATTAAGTATCACTTGATAAAAGTGGTGTGCAATCAATCACTCACTCCTATCTCAGGAGAGACTCGTTTTGAAGGACTATCTATTGCAGCATTTATCATGTCTCTAAGGCATATTTCCATTGCTCAATCAGCTCCAAAGGACAAGTGTGTCATCATCCTTCAAGGCTCTGGTGCAACAACTTAAAATTGTAGAATTCACACAGGACTAGGTCTGGCACTAAAAGCAGAAGGCATATTCAGCTTGAGCTTGTGGAAGCTTCCCTTCGATCCTGCCAATTTCTACTAGTGGAAATGGTTTCAAAGCCAGCATGAGGTTATTTGGGGTTGCTTGAGGAGCTCTTGATAAAAAAAGAAAAGGGAACAATATAAAGGGGTCACAGCAATGATGGAGCCTTGGAAAAAGTATGTAAGTCTTCTTTGGGCATAGTGGCTAAGTGTAGTTGAGATTTTAACCTCATGAATATACTCAATCTACCTGGACATCTGAGTCATTCACACTAAATGTGCCACTTTTTCTTCAGTAGCAGTACTCAGCCATTTGCAACAAACCCCAATTTCACTTTGTCTATGATGAGGAAGAAGGAGCAACTAAGTGGACTACGGTACCCAGGTGAAATGCCTCATCTTCACAGTGTTCCAACTCCGCTGGCCTTGGCTAATGATGATCAGATATCCAATTTATTTTTGTCTGATTTGGAAGGGATGGAGTAATTACTTAAGGGTCATTTATAAAATGTAATAGGAGTAACAATCATAGATCTTTGGCCATTAGGAGCTCACATTTTTAATAGAGAAGCAGTGCTTATGAAGACAAAGTAGCCAGAGACCCTATAAGACAAGGGTTAAATTATTAGTATAAAATATAATGTTTTAATTGCTAATAATTCTATTCTGTATTATGTTAATTAGGAAGAAAAGTACTACATCATTCTTTTAGAGGTAATTGAGACTCAAAAAAAATTAAACTCAGGGTAAATTCAAAGCATAAAAATAGAGATTAGCAGAGAATGAAAACTAACTTGAATCACACAACCATCCTCACCACAAATAGTACTTGCCTCTCAGTTAACCTATTTGTTGATATTTGTTGTACTGCATTCTAGACATGTTCTTTTCAAATAGACAAAACTATCAAATTTTGACTCAAGAACTATTTCATAGTATAGCCAGGACATTTTGCCCTGAGGCAGGCTAAATTAATAACTGAAGAAAGATAGCAACAATTTTTATGGCTTGCAGAAAAACAGAATAACAGCATTTTATGGAATAAAACAAAACTCCTATTTAAGAGGCTTAGATGATATAAATATATGTTGAATCAAATGACTGTAATAAAACAGTATTTCAGGAAACAATTTTTACTAGTTTTTAATAAGCTTGATATTTTAAAAACTATGATTAATATGTCCAAACTTAAGGCTTCCAGGAAAATTAAAAGGTTAAAATGTAAAGTCATCAATTTCAGCAATTAAGTGATTTAATTTTAATGCTTTAGCAGTTATATTATAAAACATGAATCACACCAGTTAACAATCTATTTTTACACAGAATCTCCGAGAAGAGAAAAAGAAAATGAATAGAAATATAGACATCGATATGAGACAATACCAAACAGTAGAGGTGGTGCTAAGAAACTCCAATAGAAGAAGCCATAGAAATTACATTTTGCAATGGCCAGGAAAGAAATATTGAAAAGAAGGTATCTGATTCTGACATATCTGAAGAGAAGTAATAGGTAATCACTTATTTAGTATGCAGTAGGCATTTAGGGACCTCATTTTCTTCATGTGTAAAATGTGATGCTTGGAACAGATATTTTTCAAGGTTCCGACAAGCTATTCTTCTACAATGCATTAGGCATTATGCTAGGAGGTATCCTAAGAAATCTAATGAAGAGCATCACTTGGCCCCATACTCTGGGAGCTTACAATTCTTTGGGAGAGCTAAAGTGCACACACAATTATCTAGATTTAAAGTAGAACAGAAAAGAGCTGAGAGTACTTCAAGAAGAATAAAAGTGCTGCAAGAGAGATAAAAACAGTTATGAGAGATCTGTAACATACAAGATGAAAGGAGGAAAAAGTGACCCTTCAAGTCTAAAGAGCCCTACATTTTCTTGGGAAATGTATGCAAACTCAGGAAATAAAATGAACAAGATTTTTTGGATATATCTTTAATGCTTAAATTTCAGGAAATGGAAGCCATGCACAGAGATAAAATACAGATTAGCTTAGGTTTTCTTTTTTAAGGTTCAGAATATGTTTTTAAGTGAACACCATAGCAGCAAGCTAAGCATTAAAATACTGGAGTGTACACATGATAATATTAAAACAAACATGACTTGGAACACAAACTACAAGAGCAATTTTACCCTTACATAAATGCCCCCATGTCCCCAGTAGCCGTATCTGGAAGAGACTTTACCTTGTGATATGTTTGCAGACAGTGTATCAGTGAAGGAATCGCTTTCTGGGTCAATTGGAGAATCTCCCAGAGTTTCACCCATAACAGCATGGAATAGGGGTTTGCTGTAATTCACACTGATATTTTGTCTATATCTAGCAAAAGATCAATCCGTTGAAAGAAAAAGACTTGAAGTAACAGAATTTGTGAATACACCCATCAGTTAAGACATCAGTTTCCAAATATTTGGGAGAGATGGGAATAAACACAGAAAGGACTGGGCCTGAATTGGCTGGCACTGTCCTGTTAGGAGCCAGCTCTGACAAAATGTTGTGTCATAATGTTGTTCACTGCTTTGGCAAGACTTGGTACATTACAGGGAAAATAATATTGCCACACTGTCTCGCCAGTGACCCACATGCTGAGTGTCTTGTGAGGGGCGTGAACTGTACAGTATTTAGAATTATAAGAGCGGAGACTGTTCAATATCGCCTTGCATTTTTATTGTCATAAAATTCACATCAATTGCTTATTAAATGGAAAACTTTAAATCTCTCGCTTATGAAATACCAGAAAGCTTATTTGGGCAAAGTTTTCTTTTGGTGTCTATTCCTGGTTGAATCTCTAATCACATTATCTGAAGAAAACTTCGGAATTCAAATATGTATCCATAGTTTAAACATTGGTATCAGCATGCTACTGAAATGTTATATTCCTAAGGTATTTATTCTACTGTTTGTGAAGCCCAAAATGATACTGACTGCTATCCAAATTCTGTAAAATTAAATAGTTGAGAGAATGAAGAAGGGTTTGATGTGGTTTCAATTTTATATGTCACAGTTTGTTCTCTTAAAAACTTCAGCTTATCCATCAATTGCAACTGCAGCAATGTTACATCAGTTGATGTCTGAACATCAATTGATGTTTAAATGATAAGTGCTGTGTCATAATGAAAAAATGGAGTTCTCTGTAAGAAGAACACACTACCAGAAAAAAAGACTTATACGCTATTAGGTTGGCGAGGAATTGTGGTCAGTTTTGTAATCAGGAAAAAAGCTGGCTTCTTGCTCAAGGCCTTTGCCCTTTTTGGCAAGGAGAAACACTAGCTGTGCCAAATTACAGATGTGGGAGCAGGTCTTGTCACATGAATGGCCTAGTAGAATTGCAGTGACATTGCAGATTTTCAAAGACGCCCCTACACATGGCAATTAGTACATTAGAAGGCAATAATTCTCTGAATTATACTTATCTTGAGTAAAATAAATATATATCTGGTTAATCTACGTTGAGTAACTATTCATTCTTCAGGAGGACTAGTAAAAGTGTCCCTGTCAATCATGGTGCAAGAGCTTGATGGTGAAATGCTCGCCAGGTCTGAACAGTACAGAATAAAGTAGAGAGTTAGGCAACTGTGCCGTTAAGCCCCAAAACATCTTTATTAAGGCAACCCAAGTTAAAGCAAAACTTGGGTTTGCTAATTTGTCCAAATGACTGCAGTGATTACAGTTGTGTAAAATTTGTTTTCTCTATATTCAGTTGGATCCTCAATAAAGGACGTTTTCCTTCCCTCTTCATGCTTGGAAATTTACTTATACTACACGGTAATCCAGACACAATGGCATAATATTTAAGGATATGACAGAATCAAAGATTCTTGGTTAAACTTACAATAGGTGAATATTCTTTTATTTTTGTAGAGATGGGGTCTTGCCATGTTGCCCAGGCTGGTCTTGAACTCCTGGGCTCAAGTGATCCTCCCGCCTCTGCCTCTCAAAGTATTGAGATTACAGGTGTCAGCCACTGTACCCAACCAAAATTAATTATTCAAGTCAAGAACCCTGTCCTTCTTTTAAATAAAGCAGAAAGAAAAACTGAAGTCCCAATCTACCTCTGGATAATCCTAGCCAATGTCCTAAGACATGTTTGAGTCTGGAAAGCAAACTTCAACCTTGTTTCCCATGAAACAGCAGTATGTTCCCATTGAACATACTGGGATGTTTTGGAATCTGCCCTCAGATTCCAAAGTCTCCTCAACTTTTGAAAAGTGGAGAAGTTTATTAAAATGTTCTTAAGATTGTACTGGATGGTCAGAATGAGAAAACTGGCAAAATAATTCCACTTTAGGGTAAGAGAAACTCTAAGTGTTTAACACTGTGTTAAGGTGAGAAAACAAGGTCTCCAAATGACAAGTCAACTCTCCAGGTTAAGCAGTTGGGTAGTGACAGAGCTGGGTCTAGGATCTAAGGATTGGACCTTTAAAGTTCAGGTCAGTTTATGGCCCTCACCAGTTTCTACTCTTAGAAGTGTCTAAATTACCTCTTTTATGAGCAAGCATAGGCAAAGAATAAAAGAAATAAAAATAAAAATAAATTGCCTCTTTTAATATATCAGCACCACAGGAATAGAAGTATTAGGCAACTTGGGGAAAATATATTTACTCTTTTAAGGAATATCAGTGAATAACTGTGGTATTCATTTTCCAATACCAATGGCTATAGTAGGGAGTGTGGTGGAATGTCTCTCAATGCCCCCCTTCCTCTTGTGGCCATGTTCCGTCAATTATGATGTTCACATTCATGCCACATCTCTATCTGGGAATCTTCTTAGTTCTGTTCCTGAGGCCAACAGCATTACCTGATTCTCAAGTCCTATACCAGTCTCTGTTACTCTTTGGCAACACACAGATACAGTCTTTCCACCTATCCTCAAAGAGTTTCACTTCTGGACCCTTCACCTACTGTTACTTCTATTCTCTTTTTTCTCAGACACCGTTCAACTTATAAGTCTACTGGGTAGTGAGAACTTCCGAGCCTCTAATAGTTCCCATACTGTGTTTTAGCTTCTGAAACATAAGATTACATATTTTTAACAGCTTATTATTCTACAGCATCAGAATCTGGTAACACCCACTCCTATAGGACCCACCACATCCTGTCATTCCTTCTTCCCCCAGACTATGTTATACTTGAAAACAAAAACCTGTCTTAACTCATTGTGTTTCATGCATTCATTTGTTCAAAAAATATTCATTGCTAATATAATATGCAGCAAGCCTCAAGCTAGGTGCTAGAGATACAATGATGAACAAGACGGATGTGTCAAAAAAACAGTCAATAAGCAAAAACTACAATTTTAATAAACATAGAGCCTGCCAAGTAGCAGGCTCAGTAAATGTTGCTTACACTCTTGGCAGCATATACAAACCAAGCAACACACAAAGCATCCCTGCATTAGTAACAACACAGTTACACAACATGGATAATTTCATCATATTTTATGTTAATGATAGTCACACTGCAGTGCTAGGTCACTTAAGAAATAACTTGCTCACATGGACGTTCAAATGGATGAAAATAAAGATGGATGAGCCAGTTTCACTTGTATCTTATTATGTATCTGTTTTGTCTTTAGATAACTGAAGAGACTTACTTTTACATTTATCCATCCCACCATTCATCAAATACCTACTAAGCACCAGGTATTGATCTGGATTTAGGCAGTAAATAACAAGCCAAGGTTTCTATTTTCAATGAGTTCACATTACCTATATCAATATTATCCAAATACACCTAAACGAGTGATCTTTTCATTTGCTTAACCTTGAAGATCAATTGGCATGCACTGATATGAGAAATAATATATTTGTTTAAATAGTATCATTAGCATCAGTGGACAGTATGTGATCATCATATTTTATATTAATGATAGTAACACTGTTTATGATAATTTCTAAGACATGCATGTGACTATCCCTATCTTCAAAACCTTAAGATTCCCCCAGTGTCCTGCCCTTTATAATATTGACTGGAAGGATATTATAAGATACATAAAAGAGTACACCAGTGATTTACATGATAAGATCTTAGAACTTTAGAACTTGCTAAGATTGCTTTGCACACCAAGGGGTTGTCAGCACTTTGCACGTCAATGCAGTCGCCTATTGCTATTCATCCTACGGACAGTCCCCTTGCAGGAGAGTCCTTCTTAATGTTACAGGGTGAGAAGGAGTGGTAAAAGACAACTTTCCATCCCAGTTACAGTACAATGATGGGGAGGAAGAGGGTTGGTTAAAGCAACCCTTTAAGCAGTTTTCTGCTGTCCCTTTTTTCCAATTAGAGATTTGTGGATGTGAGGGATCACACCACCCCCAGCTATGGCAGCCTTGATAAGAGAATCCAACTCTTCATCACCAACTGTGACAGAAGAAATAATGGGGATATGTGGAATTTTAACAACAGTTAAATGGAAAAGCATAGACGATAACTATAGACATGATAAAAGAAACATTTGTATGTTCTTAGACTTGAAGTTTGATAAAAGTACCTTTTCATGTGGTGACAGTTGTGTGTTGATTGGCTAGGTTTCTCCCATGTGTTTTATATAAAAATGGAATTGATAAACCATTTTTTACAAAATTTAAAAAAAAGACCACTTTCCTTATGTACTATGTACTTCTTCTGTTGAGGGATGTAGGGCTCTGTGGAGATGGCTCTGTGCCATCTCTCCTTGGACGCTGGAGACAAAGGGGGATGGATGTAACTTTGAGTACACCACCAAATCCTTAGCAGGGGAAAGAATGGGGATAACAAGGAATGATTCTATGATGAGGAGGGTAAAAAGTTAACTCTACCCCAGTTCATGACATTTGAAAAAACTGACAGTTTGATATTAGAAAAAGCTACTCTTCAACATCTAGTCTTCAATATTACTTTATAGAACCTGTCTTTGGTTAAAAGAATCTGAATATTGCTCAGCTAAAAAAACTCTCCACACTTTGGTACTTTTAAGAGAAGGCAATTCGACCAATAAAAGCTGTGAATGATTCAGTAACAAAAAGAAAAGGTGAAAAAATCTATAGTTAATAAAATCATATCATTGTATCTATATAAAGTTATTTTTAGCATTACTTGGTGTTGGAATGACTTATATAAAATATTCCCACAAAATAGAATATTAAATATTTTGGGGCTGTATTATTCTTGAAAGCCAATGAAAACTGGTTTGTTTGTTTTTTTGCTATAAATTTGGATTTAAAAATTGCTTACATGGCTATTTCTTTTGTGTGAAATAAGCTATGTTAGTATTGGTATAAAATTGTATGCACAATATTTTTTCTTTCGCTCTAACCTCATTTAAAAACTTGCTTAATGTAGCTTTTCCTAAGTCGGCACTCACCAAGGAGAAAGCCATGTTCAGTTCGAGCACCAAGATTGTGAAGCCCAATGGCGAGAAGCCAGACGAGTTCGAGTCCGGCATCTCCCAGGCTCTTCTGGAGCTGGAGATGAACTCGGACCTCAAGGCTCAGCTCAGGGAGCTGAATATTATGGCAGCCAAGGAAACTGAAGTTGGTGGTGGCCGGAAAGCTATCATAATCTTTGTCCCTGTTCCTCAACTAAAATCTTTCCAGAAAATCCAAGTCCGGCTAGTACGCAAATTGGAGAAAAAGTTCAGTGGGAAGCATGTTGTCTTTATCGCCCAGAGGAGAATTCTGCCTAAACCAACTCGAAAAAGCCGTACAAAAAATAAACAAAAGCGTCCCAGGAGCCGTACACTGACAGCTGTGCACGATGCAATCCTTGAGGACTTGGTTTTCCCAAGTGAAACTGTGGGCAAGAGAATCCGTGTGAGTCTGGATGGCAGCCGGCTCATAAAGGTTCATTTGGACAAAGCACAGCAGAACAATGTGGAACACAAGGATGAAACTTTTTCTGGTGTCTATAAGAAGCTCACGGGCAAGGACGTCAATTTTGAATTCCCAGAGTTCCAAATGTAAACAGAATGACTAAATAAAAAATATATTGACAAAAAAAAAAAAAACTTGCTTAATGTAATGCTGTAAGTGCTAGTAACACTTATGCTAGCTTCTAAAAGGTTAAGAGTTTAGATCTCATTGTATCCCTAGAATCTAGCACAGTGTCCCTACTTGGCATTAAAACACACATACTGTTTTTGTTGATGCTAGAGTGATGAAAGAACAGCACTTCCATATCACATGTATCATTCAAGAAGTTTAGAGACCTAGCAAACTGATAACAGCATTCATTTTCTTTTTGTTCCAACAAGATGTAAATTTCTGGATGATGCTCCAGTGGAAACCTGATAATTGCCAACAACCAGAATGACCACCCAAGTTCACTTCTCCCCCTACCCAAAAGAATGGCTGTCTTTTCCTGGTGCAATTAAGATTGGCTTGGAACCTTATTTTCAAGTGGCGGTTGCATCAGTTCAGGATTTCTTCACAGTCACAGGGGAGAGAGAACATGGGAGAAATACTGGGCCAATGGGATACGGCTTTGAGAAGAACAAATAATCCTGTATCCCGGACGTAAGTTTCACCACAACCATCACACAAGCTGGATATTCCCATAAAAGCAGACAAAGAAAGGCCAATGTTCAATGAATGCATTTGTGCCACTTTTTGAAAAATTTTTAAATTAAAAAAAAAATTTGACAGGGGTCTTGCTATGTTGCCCAGGCAAGTCCCCAACTCCTGAGCTCAAGTGATCCCCCTGCCTCAGCCTCCAGAGCAGCTAGGACTTCAGATGCTCACCACCACGCTCAGCTGTGTCTTTTTTTTTTTTGAGACAGAGTCTTACTCTGTCCCCCAGGCTAGAGTGCAGTGGCGCAAATCTAGGCTCACTGCAATCTACATGCGCCTCCCATGTTCAAGAAATTCTCCTGCCTCAGCCTCCCGTGTGTCATTTTTTTGAAACACAAATTCTTTCTTCTTTAACACAAAACTCTAATTTTGTTCAGATTTTCAAAAGTAATATATTTTACAGGCATGATTATATTAAACTATATTATTTTGATTTAAAGAAATATAATGCTGCTGGATGCAATGGCTCACACCTGTAATCCCAGCACTTTGGGAGGCTGAGGCAGGAGGATTCCTTGAGACCGGAAGTTTGAGACCAGCCTGGGCAACAGAGTGAGACCTTGTCTCTACAAAAATTAAAATATTTAGCCAGGCATGGTGGCATGTGCCTGTAGTCTCAGCCACTTGAGAGGCTGGGGCAGGAGAATTGCTTGAGCCCAGGAGATTGAGGCTGCAGTGAGTTGTAATAGCATCACTACACTCCAGCCTGGGTAACAGAGTGAGACCTTGCCTTAAAGAAAAAAAAAAGAAGCCAATAATTCCAGTAGATGTGTATGTGGTATCAAAAAAAGATCTTCTTAACTTGGAAGCAGTAGAAAAGAACACTGACATTGGAGCCAGAAAGCCTAGGTTTTAGGTTCTCAGACACAAACTTACTGTGTCAATTCTTTGAGTCCACATTTCTCATATCTAGAATCAGAAGAAGGCCTTTCCACAAAACAGAATACTCCTTAAGGTCCTTTTGGTTTCTAATGTTGAGATATTGATAATATGACTGTAATTCATTTATTTAAAATTTAATGGAAATTCTTCATATTGTATACTTACTCATGTTCTAATCCTGAGTTACTATTTCCTTTTCTTACCTGACTCATACCTAGGTAACAGTATAAAAGGCACTTTCATCTGAAAAATAATGTCTGATAGTAAATTAAAAGTCTCAAAAAAAAAAAAAAAACTGAAAACTTCCTTTTCCATCCCCCACTTCAAAAGTTAACTTACCTCTAATACCTGAAAAAGAGCCTAACCTGTCTAACCACTTTCTAGGGATCAACTAAACACTTTTCAAGTTACTGTAACTTTGAACCAAAGACGTCCCACTTAAACTATGTTAACTTGTTGTTGCATGTAATATCTGAAATTCTCTAGTAAGCTGTTTCCAGTATAGTAAAATACCATGAGCTATATTATCGACTGACACATTTTCATGTTGTGGGAAACCTACACCTCTAAAACATGTATCTTTTTCAGTTTTCAGACTTTATCAATGAATTTTCTAAGATCATTTATAGAAAGATTTATTGGGCAGCACATCCTGTCACTGGTGAAGCACACTGGGAATTCACAAAGATTCTACAGCAAGTGTAAAGCCATGGAGCTGATTCAGGTTCAGCTGGTGGAACTGAACAGTTTTGTGACTGTACTAGAGGAAATTTACAGACTGCTGAAATCACGGGCTCACAAAACTTAACAGCAGGAAGATTAGCACATTCCAACTCTTAATTTTTCATATAAGGAAAATGAGTTCCAGAAAAAAAGAAATGATTTGCCCGAAGCATGACTCAGATAAATTAGCAGCAGAGTTTGAGCTAGAAATCAGGTTTCTTGATTCCAAGTCCAAAGCT